CCCCCCCCCCCTCTTTTTTTTTTTTTTTTTTTTTTGAGCCAGGGTCTTACTAAATCGCCAAATTGCTCAGGTTGGGCTTGAACTTTTGATCCTCCAGCCTCACAGAGTGCTGGGATCACAGGTGTGCACCACCCCGCCCAGCCTCTTCTGAGAGAAATCAAGGTCATCCTCACAGCAATGCCAAGGGCGGGGACCAGAGCCTCGGCCCTAAAGGAGGCAAGGCAGAAAAGCACCAAGGACGGGGCGGCCACTGGCTACCGAACAAAGGTGCTCGAGGCACTGCTTTGACCCCAAGCCCCGGGGCTCACCTGTTCCTGAACAAAGTCCATGATGTTTTTGAAGTCCAAGTCGTCATAGTAGTTCTCAATTCCTCTTCGAATGTTGTCATTCAGAAAGTCAATGGTCTGTCACAGAGAAGGGACATCACAAAGGAAAGGGACCTGCACAGAGACCAACCCTAGAATTTCTGGAAGTCAGGACTGGTGAGGACACCGTGTGCTTCCCGGCAGCATCTGTGGCACCAGCAAGGAGGGTCCTCTCCACTCCCCACCAGACTCCATGACGCCCGCGCTGCCCACATCCCCTCCCTGGTCTCCGGATGCCTGAGGGCCTCTGCTAGGTCCCCTCTACAGCCCCTCCTCAAATTCTTCCACCATTCAGCCTCCAGCTTTACAGGGGAGGAACTGAGGCCCCGGGGAGGGGAGACACGGAGCAGCTTGGTTTGGGCCTGGCCGGGGCTGGGTCAAATCTCCTGACTTCCATGGGCCTCTCTCTCCATTACTGTGGTGCTGGGGCCCAGTCCCTGCCCGGCCTGGGCAGGGACAGTCCCCACAGGGAAGCGCGCTGGCACGCTGCCCTCTCCCAGTCACGCTGGGCTTTCTGGATCAACAGCCTGGCTGTTGTGCTGAGATCCGGGGCACAAAGGGGGCCCACATCAAGCAAGGGTGGGGGTGGAGTGTGGGCTGCCCAGCTCCATGCCAGCTGCCACAATCAGAGCTTTCACAGCACCGAGACTGAACATCAGCAGAGACTGGGACAGAGGAGCATTCTTGGCTCTGGTGCCAGAGAGGAGCCAGACAATTCCTGGGGGGCGGGGGTGCATCCTGAGGTACACAGGAATAATGGGGCCAGGTTCCAGGCCCCCTCACAGCCCATTTCCCCTCTCTGGGCCTCAGTTTCCCACTGTGAGCCAAGCCCATAGGCCTCTCTGTAAGGATCCAAAGACTGAAGGCCAAAGACCAAGCTGAGAGGGGCTGTCCTGCCTCACCGTCAAAGACGCAGCCCCCGTGGTCACTTCTGTTAACTTACAAGCATCCAGGTCCTCACCTTCGAAACCGGGAGGCAACTACCTCTGCCTCACAGGGATGCTGTGATTAAACCATACTTTAGCTACAGAGTAGTAAGCAGCATGCCCGACACATAGTAGGTCCTGGTATTATAAACTTTTCACTTTTTCCAGGGGACAGACACAGGTCAGAGCACCACCTCAGTCCCACCACGTCATGAGTAGGAAATGGGAATTTCAAAGGGAAATGAGGCCCCAGCTCTCATCTGAAGACCTCCCGCAACGCAGCCAGCCTCTGAGTGAGGGTCCTGAGGCCACCTTCCCAGATGCTGCAGCCCAGAGAGTGATGTCACTTGCCCAAGGTTACCCGGTGGCCACTAGCGAAGAGCTGCTGAGACCAGGGTGCCAAACTCCCAGCCTGATGCCTTTTAGGGTGCCAAGTGAAGACCTCACAAGTCAGATTTGGGGTCATTTCTCGAAACCATCTCCAGTACCGGAAGAGAGGAACAAGGCCAGGGCCACCTCCTCCCCGAGACCACAGTGCTCAGACCCAAGGTGACAAGGGGCCAGGAGGAGAGAGGGCACCGGCCTCTGCGAGAGGCTCAGAACTCATCGGCCATGGCTCTCATCATTCTGGCCCGAATCCGGGAGGACCAGCTGCCTGCAGCCTCAGGGCTGGGGCACAGCAAGAACCTGCCAGGCCTGGGGCCCAGGTCGGGGAGCCTCTCCAGCCCTCGTTACCTACTCCTCTGGGTGGAGAAGGGACAGGCCAGCTGGCTGGGGTGTGGGAGGGGTGGGGTCAGTCTGCCACCCAAGGTGGGGCAGGGGATGAGCTCACAGCTCACAGCTGCTGGGCACTGGGGTGGCACCGCTGTGAGGGCCACTCCTCAGTCCACCACAGTGAGAAGGTCATGCCGGCCACTTTCCTCCACAGTGAGAGCCCTGCAGTCACAGCCTCGGCCTGCTCTGGTCCTCTGAACCTGGCCTGGCCCACTCCCGGCCTCCCACTGGGTCACTGTGCCCTATGGACACCCTCAGAGCTAGTGACAGAGTAGAATGAGGGCTGGAGGCCCGGGCCAGGGAGGCAGTGGGGGCAGAGGGGAACTGGTGGCCATGGGCCAAGTGTTCCCTTCTTCTCAAGGAGCAGCGCTGACCTCTCCCCAGACTACCACGGGCATTTGCGAGGGCTCAGACTCCATGCCAGGCCTTAGTGAGGGTCAGGCAAAGGGAAGGGAGGGGAATGGGCAGGAGGAGCAGAAGGCCCTGGGCCCATGGACAGCAGCTGCCCCAGCTTCCATGCGAAGATCTTTGGGTCATGCTGGCTTTTGCAAGTGTGTCTGCTTGTGTGTGTGTGTGTGTGTGTGTGTGTGGTGAGTGTGCGTGCGCGTGCGCATGTGCACTGGAGGGTGGGCAGGTCACTGAAGGCTTTCTGGGCTGTGACCACTGGGAAGGGTGGCGAGGACAGGGGACAGGTCACACAGTTTGCGAGCTGTTACGTGCTTGCTCACGTAGACAGCATCAGTGGTGTTCCGAAGGACTCCTAAGCCAGTCAGAGGACCCGGCCTGGGGCAGCAGGCAGGAAAGAGGCTTCCACTGCAGCTCCCAGAGGCCAGGGACACCAGCACTACCATACCTGGCTCTAGACCAGGTCACAGAAGCAGGGGCCGCCCCAAGCGAGGACTGGAAAGGGTCTGGGGGTCCCGTGGGCCTGGCTCACTGAAGCCAAGAGTAAGCAAACATCAAAGGCCACCAGGTTTACAGAGCTGGGTCACAGAGACTCAGCCTTCATCTTCACCATACAGACACGCTCTGTCCGACCCTCATCCGACAATCAGTCACAGACTTTCCTCACGCGCACGTGCGGTCCGGTGCCCACGAGAGAGGAACAGTGGAGAATCTGAACAGAAAGGCCTCACTGGGTGTCCCCACCCAGCCCACCCTCACTCATCCTGTGCATGAAGTGGCCATAAACCCCCAAGGACAGGGTTCAGGGAGCTTCCTGACAGCTGAACACGCAAAGGCTCTGTGCCTCCCTCCAAGTCTCTCCTTTCTGCGTCCTTTGAAATATCCTTTTTTAATAAACTGATAGCAAAAGGGTAATAAAATCTTTCATAATCAACAAGACTCAGTATTTCCCTGAGTTCTTTGGGCTGCCTGAGCAAATTCACTGAATCTGAGGAGAGAGTTATAGGGGCCCCCAACTGAAATCCCAGTGGTCAGAGCACAGGTAAAGCCACCTGGGGCTTGTGAGTGGCACCTGAAGGGGACAGTCTTGGGGTCTGAGCACTCAGCCCATGGATCTGACGCCACCTCTAGGTGGACGGCCTCAGCACTGAGCTGACTATGAGGACAGCTCACTAGAATCTGCTGCAGGGCTGAGGGCTTGCCCGGCACGTGAGAAACGCCCCACATCTGGGGACCACAGAAGTGATCTGGGCCGCTAGCACGCATGAAGAGAAACTGAGTTTGCATTTGCTCTTTTGAACAGACACCATGGCTCACCCCACAGAGCCGAGAGCCCTTTCCCAGCTGCCCAGGGGCACCCCACCCGAGGAAGAGCGACCCACTTCACAGGCCATGGTACCTACAGAGGGTGGAGACAACTGGAAACTCACCCCTGACCACAGCTCCCTGAACTACGAGGACGGAAGGGCCCAGGGGTCTCCTAACCCCTCACCTGAAAAGCCCTCATGTCTTGGTTCTCATCAACCTATGGAGCCTGGAAAGCGGCAAATCCAACAGCCTTGGCAAAAGCATGCAGGCACTAGGCCTGTTGCTCGTGCAGGAGCGGGCTGTTTACTAAGGCCATGAAAGTTGCTAATCACAAATTCTCCCTGGGCTCCAGCCAGGAAAGCACTACCCCCTACCCATTACCCAGGAAGGCCCGGGCTGGCCGGGAGCCCTAAGTGCTGCACAGAAGAGCATCCTTAAGTGCAAATGAATGCACATCTCTCTCCCGTCAAGCTGCTGGAAAATGAGCTAGTATCCTGGACCTGCTGGCTCAGAGCAGAGGACCAGCAAAGTAGAAAAGGGGAAAGCAGAGAGCAAGACTGGATTGGAAAGCTGCTCTCAGCTGTCTCTGCCTTGCTGTGTGCTCTTGGAAGGGTTTCTTAACCTCTCTGTGTCTTGATGACTCTTAGTATGATGGGAGTCATCCTGCCCCTATTCTGGGGCTCACCCTTGGATCCCAGGGGTGTAGACTTGCCTGGGGTCAGGTCCCACTGTAGGAGGCCTGGGCAGAGCAGACATGTTTCCTTTCCCACCTGGACTGGGACACCAGCCACACCCAGGAAGAGTGTGGCAGGGGTCAGACACTTCATGGCTGAGGCTCTGGCTTTGGGACCGTGTCTGCTGTGTTGGGTCCAACTTCTGGTGAGAATGATGTTTCGGTAGCAGCCCTAATCCACCCTTCCAACAGCAACTGGAATGCCAGGAACCAAGCTGTGTTACAGGCCAAGGTGCAGGCAGGAAGTGGATAGAGAGATCTGTGCTTCTCCAAATGTGCCTTGCACCTCAAACCCTGACCACAACACTAAAGTAGGGTGAGCACAAAGGAAAGAGGTTCTGCAAAGATAGATCCCTGGGTTAGAAATGAGCCTTACCCACTATTCGCTTCCTGCGGGGTCTTAGACAAGAGGAGCTGTGCCTAAAACACGCCAGGTTCTTCATATCCCTTCTTTTATCCAACCCTCACCCCAAACTCTGTGCATTAAGAATCGTGAGCCCCTAAGGATCCAAGAGGTCACGTGACACCCAAGGTCACACAGCTAGTATGAAGGGCACAGGTGTAGGGTGAAGGGTCTGGAGACCAGGAGCCATGAGCACCTTTCCAGCTCCGTGGGCCCCTAACTCTGCAAATCCTGCTGGGAGTGGAATGCCGAGTGCTGCCCTGGAAACCTGTCTCCTTCCCTCACTCCTGCACCTAGCATGACAGTCACATCGGTGCTGCCTCCAAATCCCGCCATCTCGGCCAGGCCCACTGCCTCCTGCAGCACCCCACTCACTGTAGCACCCCACTTTATAGTCCAGGGCACACACAGCAGACACTCAGTGTGCACAGCACCCATATACGAACCCTCAGGCCCACCTGGTTCCGGAAGATTAAGGCCACCACACCACCAATGAGCTCCATTATGAGGCAGATCCCAAGGACGTACATAAACTGGAAAACAAAATTCATAGATTCACCTGAGGTGGGGCAGAGAATGAAGACAAGGCACAAGGGAAGTGTCGCCTGCTCAGAGATCCAGCACAAAAGCAGCTCTCACGGCTCCTGGCCCTGCTGTCCTCCCAACCGACAGGACCACGGAATGTGGACCGCTGTGCTCAAGCTTCCCCAGGCAGATGCTTATTACTCATGTTTGTTTCAGGGGTCCTTAGTGGAGCCCAGGTGAACCAGCTTCACCATCCCATCTACCCAAGGAAAGAGCTCAGCCTTACGCCAGCGGACAGACCTGATTTGAAGGGAAGGCTGGGGCAGTGCTTCCAGCCCGCACCAAGTACCCCTCCTCCTTTTATTAGACACACACCCCAGCCCTTTACTAGAAATCAGGCATCATCTAAACAAACTACAGCGACTTCCGGCCTCAGACAACACCAAGATCCTGCTTCTACGGGATCACAGGGTTCCCGTAGGCGGGAAGATGAGACACACATGTGAGTGTGGAGTGAGTGGATCTGCCTCCCTGTACCCCAGTTTGGGGATTCAGGGAGGGTTGACAATACCTGGGACCTCAGGAAGGGCACCAATCGGGCCACCAGCATGCTGAGACTCTGGCTCGAGTAACCAGGAAGGATGCTCTGGGATCAGGGCTCTGTAAGGACTCTGCCAGCCTGAAGCTGCTGGTGCCCACCACACAGGGCGCCTGAGGATGACACTGGATGGGAACAGCCCTCCTGGGAGGCGGCGAGAGACACTGGCCAGGCTGTCACTGGGTGAGTTGATGACTCACCACCCCTCCTTTTGTCCATCTGTGCTCTCTCTCATCCAAGTGTGGCTTCTCCCATCCCATCCGAGCGGGACACAGAGCTCCGCCAACCACAACAGTACTCAAATCTGCTTCTGTATGCAGGCGTGGGGTGGCCTGGGTCCCTCCTGAGCAGACCTCGGAAACCCTCTGAGGAACTGAAGAAACCGAGCTGCTCCGGGGTCCAGGGCCAGAGGGGCTTTTGTGGAGACCCAACCCATGGTCACAGACCCCGGCCCCCAGGCTGAGGGTGGGGCAGGCCACTCACCGCTTGAAGAAGGCACAGGTTGTCCCGGAGGGAGGCCAGCACACCGATGAAGGAGACGATGAACATGACGACCCCCAGGAGGATGAGGATGACGGCCGGAGCCAGGAAGGCAGTTTCCAGGGTTTTGTACTTCTGCCGCTCCACCTCCGCGTAGATCCCCACAGACAGCACCAGGGCGCCGATCAGCTGCGGCACAAGCCGGCAGTGAGGAAGGAGAAGGCCCTGGGCAGCCTCTGAGCATTCCATGAAGAGCCGGCCTAACGCTGTGGCCCTGGCATGGGGGGCTCCCCCAGAGGGGCCACAGAGGGACCCTGATGTGAGCTGAACTGTTACCTCCCAAAAAGCCCTCTGCTGAAATCCTAGACCCCAGTGCCTCAGGATGTGACTATATTTGGAGATAGGGCCTTTAAAGTGGTAACTGAGTTAAAATGAAGTCACCAAGGTGGCTCCAATCCAAATGTGTCCTTCTAAGAAGAGATTAGGCTGGGAAGAGATTAGGCTGGGCGTGGTAGCACACACCTGTAATCCCAGCACTCGGGAGGCTGAGGCAGGAGGATCACTGTGAGTTTGAGACCAGCCTGGGCTACATAGTGAGTTCCAGGTCAGTCTCAACTACATAGTGAGACCCTGTCTCAAAAAAACAAACAAACAAACGAACAAACAAAACAGAACACACACACACACACACACACACACACACACACACACACACAAAGAAGAAGAAGAGCTTAGGACACAGAGAAAGACCATATGAAGACTGGGAAAAGATGGCAATCTCCAAGCCCGACAGAGACACAAGAAGGAACCAACCCGGTCACACCTCACTCTTGGGCTTCCAACCCCCAGAACTGTGAGCACTTCGGAGTCTGGCGTCAGACTCACTCAGTCTGTGGCACTTGGATGGTAGCCATCGGGGGCTAAGACAGACCTTACATGGAGATGCTACCTTAGAGGAGACGGGGGTGGGTGGCCCTGGTGGGGGCAGAGGACGTGAGTTCAAGTCCAGCCCTACTAATCCCAAACCCTGGTCAGGCACTGACCACACTAAGTCTGTGTTCACATCTGAAAAATGGGTATAACACATTCACTGTGGCCCTGCTTACCCAAGTCTCTTTGCAAGGCTGGAGCCAAAATAACAAAGGTGGGACTCTGTGAACCTGAGAGCACAAGGCCACCACAGACAGAGAAGGACCCGACGGACATTTTGGGACTGTTCAGGGGAACAGACATTTCACACAATATCATAAGTATGGAATTTACTTTCAGGATGACCACAAGGAAGGTCAAAGGTTGGATTGGGGAATTTTGAGAGGATTTTCATTGTCAACATTTCTGACAGTGGGAACACCATACACACTGTAACTTTCTATCAGAAAAACCCAGGTTCCTCACTGCTGTCAAACATACTCAATGTAGTCACCCCGGGGCCTTTGCACAGGCTTTTCCCACCACTTGAGCGGATTTTCTCCTGATAGCCATATGGCTCACTCCCTACTTCCTTCCATCTTTGTTGAATTATCACCTGCTCAGTGAAGCCTTCTGGGGCTACTTTATTCAAAAGTGAAAAGTCCCTCCCCACAAAATTCTTCACTGCTTTTTCCTGTTTCATTTTCTTCCTTTGTATTGACCATTATTTAACATACTACATCATTTCTTTTACTTTTTTAATTGTTTGACCTCTCTGAAAGAACACAAGCTCCATGTGAGGAGGGATTTTTTTTTTTAATTTTACTTTATTTTATTTTATTTGGACTGTTTTGGACATCCACAGCCCCTGACAGTCCCCACACGGGGGAAGTACAATAGATGTTTACCATCAATGTCCATGAAGGAACATGAGCTGGACTTTCCCACAGAGCCCTCACCCCCACCTCCTGATCCTGAGTCAGTCACTATGCAGCCTCCTGCCTGTCCAAAGATCACAACAGTCCTTTCGGGCCACTCATTACGGAAGGCTGGGAAACGTCACTGGGTTATGGGACTTCCCCACTGAGCCAAAGGGACCCGGGAGAGCAAATGGAAGCCATGTGCCGTCAGCTCAGGCCCAAGAGGAAGTGAAGGAAACACAGACAGGGGGTGGCAGCATCCACACAGGCGTGGCCGTCCAGGATGCGGAGCGGCCGCCCTTCGCTAACGAACACCTACCCCAGGCTTCAAGTGGCCACAGCTTTCTCATCCCGTCTCCCAGGACATCCTCTTGGCCTTCTATGGAGTGCCAAGGCTGTCCTAGGAAAGGGAAATGGCTGCTTCCTCCTCAGCTCTGACAAGTGATGGGGATAGCACAGGTCACACAAGCAGAGCTTATGCCACCGAAGCACCCCGGACAGCAACGACCAGGTCGGGCTCTCCTGAGCCCCGCACCCCGCTGTCTTCCAAGGCTGAGAGCCTTGGCTTGCAGAGATAATTCCCCTACTGCACCGCGACCCACACCCCCAGGGTGGGAGGAGCACCTAACACACGGGCCAGGAACGAAGGCACGGACACACGGGTCCTCAGCCACTTACTAACAACATGGCCACTTCAGGGAATGTAGGAGTGAAGGGATGGCAGCAAAATCACCCAGGCACCCTCTACAGGCAAATGGTAACACAAGAAATGAAATCTGCTGCTGAGAAAGATCAACCAGAGACTACCAGGTCAGTCACACTCCCAAACCCCAAACATGGTAAAATCGCTGTTCAGTGCCGACCTCAGCCCGTGGCCCCTCTCAGAGTAACGGCGAGCAAATGCCCACCTTCAGCACAACTCCCTCACTACACTCTGACCTGAATGAGACAAAGACCCAGGAGCCCCTGCGTGCAGGAGCTAGGAATCAGGATTCAACAAGAACCCCTCGGCACACTGAGGTATTCAGGGCCCTGGCAAGGAACAAAGCAAATATTCAAAGAGCCTGTGTTCTTGAGGGCGGCAGCAAGATTTCATCTTTCACCGCGATGAGAAGTATATCCCTCGCTCTGTCACTGAACTCACATAACTATGCCGTCCCAATGTGTTCCACTTGATTCCGCACACTCTCGACAGTTACTTCCTGTTGTACGCAAGACTCCTCTCCTCCGGCAGGATGAGCACAGGGCCCGTCATCTCCCCTACTCCCAGCCTGTCCCCGTCCCCCCTTGTTGCCTCAACCTGTTCCTCCATGGTCAGATGCTCAGCTTTGGAAACTGTACCCCAAATCCCAGAACTGTCATTAACCCCAATTGTGGGGCAGGGCTGGCTTCAGCCTTTTGCAGAAAGGCAGTCAGTAGCTTCTATTTTTACAGCTCCCGAGAGCCCCCGAATCTCTCCAGAACAGCTCTGCTGGTAGAAAACAAAACTTCCCTGGGCCGCACTGCCACTTCCTTGCTGGTTGTCTCTGTGATATTTCCAGACCACAAAAACCATGGGAAAAGCATGTGGCCGATGCAAACGTGGCCCTCCCAACTCCCCTGCCACCGTGCACCGAGCTCTCACAGACCCCGTTTCTAACTGTCCAGGCCAAGCCTATGTGGCTCCCTACACAACCCAGACCCATCCAGGCTCCCTGCCCAAGTGTTCTGAGGGGCACTGGGCACAGGGAGAGGTTGGCATGATAAACCTCCCCAGCAACTTCGAAATTTCCAAATGATATTTACATCTCTCATGACATCGGTTTATCCACCTGAGTATAAAAGTATCTGTCAATGCCAGCATGCAATCCCGGCTGCTCCTCTCTGCTAATTTTAGCCCTTTCCAGGCAGCCAGCCACTTCAGCCCCAGTGCAGGAAGCAAAAGGCCTATTTGTCAAGCAGGACAGCTTCAGCTAAACAGGGCCGGGGCTGAGGGAACATAGCATGCCCATTTGGGGCCACAGAGAGAAACAGCATGCCACTGGCAGCGCAGGGGACTTTGTAATCAGGGAGCACCTTCCACAGGCCACAGAGGAGGCCCGTCACCCATGATGACTCAGGTCCCTTCTGAGCCCTGCAGCCTGGAACTCAGCTTCCTCCTGTGCAGGGTAGGCCCAGCTCTGTGCAGCTTCTGGGAAGCTCTCCAGCACCTGTGCGTCCTTCAGGAAGCACCTGGTCACTGTTCCCTGCTGTCTCACCCCCAGCTGGGGCAAGGTTATGCTTAAAGGTCTATTTTCACCCCCAGAAGCCACAAACTGGGCTCCGACTGTGTTCTAGGCTGTTAGGCTCCAGAGAGTCACAGGAACTGGAAGACTCGATATGGGGGAGGGAGAGGGAGAGGTAGAGAGACCGGAAGTGATAGTCCTAGAGTCGGAACTCAAGGAGTTGGAACTTGGCTGGAGGACAAAGTCAACCCTTTCGTTTCGTTCACCACTGTGGTTGTTTGACTCTTGAATGACTCCCAGGCTCATGTGGTAAAGGTTTGCTCCCCTGGGTGGCACTGTTGGGAGGTGCTGGAGGCTTTCAAAGGTGGGGTCTGGTGAGAGGTCTTCAAGGCTTACCCCTGAAGGGGATGATGGGACCCTAGACCTTTCCTCTTCTTTTTTGCTTCCCTGGATGCAAGGTGAGAAGTTTCACTCTGCTCATGCTGTCCCACACTGTTCTTCCTCACCACAGGCCAAAAGCAACTGGGCCAAGAGATCAAGAATTGAAAATTCCAAAAAAGAACCCCCCCAAAAAAAAGAAAAGAAAAGAAAGAAAACACCAAAACTGTGAGCCAGGATAAACCTTTTGTCTTTTGATCATCTTGGTTATTTGCTACAGTAACGGAAAGCTGACTAACATAATCTTTAACTGAAACATTCCTTCCATTTTGAATGTGGGTAACAAACCAAAGTAGTTAACAACACCTGTGACTTTGTCTGCACTAGAACTCACATTACAGTTGTTGCACAAGCCTTAAAATATCACTAACATTTCTCATTCATCATTACAGCAGTATTAGACCGATTGCTAGATCTTGTGATTTAATGCAGTGGTAAAGAACCATGTTGTTACTATACCATAAATTTGATTTTACTACATGTTAATAATTTTACCTCAGTACAACTGGTTTCTTCTGTAAGCCTGTACATTTACTTTCATGTATTTAAATATCTTTTTCTGAAGAGGGGTTCACAGGCTCCCTCCAGAGAGCCAAAGGGGCCCCTGATACAAAAGAGTGAAGAATCCCCGGTCTGTGAAAAGCAAGATATTTTCCTGCCACGGAGAGGTACACAGGGCTCTGGAACTGGAATGAAAGTGAGAGAGAGATGTCAGAAC